TATTTCATTAATTAATAATCTTAATTCCGGGACTTCTAGGTGTAACATTCACAGATGGCAGAAGCATAAACGTTCGCATTCGGCACGAGAATTTTGTTTTGTTTTTGTATTTGTTTTGAACACAATTTACTTTCTTATCGCTTCCGCCGCGTGGAATGCAACGCATGAGATTCTCGAGTGTCGTCGTTGCAAACCTCTTACACCGCATGCAGCATATTCACGTTTAGTTTAGATCGGGCCTATTGCAATTCGCGTACAAGGTCGCGCGCAATCGGCGCACCGGTTTTGCGCATCTCTTGCTTTCTTATCGTGAACTGTAGCGTCGCGTGAACTTGCTCGGCTACGGGGTGCACTATCCGCGGATTGCGCTCAGTGTCGTGTCGGTCTCTAGTTGATTCAGACGTGTCTCTCGCGACTCGTATCGTTTGTTCGGACTTGTGCTTTTTAACTTTGCATTATATTCGATTGCCAATAGACCATTTAGTTTTAACTTGTGACTACAGTATTGTTATTGGCTATTTGCATCTTTATTGTCCGTAAATGCCGGTTAAGTGTATATTGCAACTCACAAGACGGCGAGTTGCTAAGTACATCAGCCCCTGTCGGAGTGTTGGAACGCATAAAATACTGGTATGGTATATATTACTTGCTTGTTCTATACATTCGTGCTCGTTACACGTACGCCTTTAATTTCCCGCGAACGGCGTCACATATACGAGTATACATATACTTGAACGGCGTGACGAGTGATGCGGAATTAATGATATGCTGAATTAAATTCTCCATCGGGTGGTATTTAATTGTTGCAGGAATTCGACCTGCAACCCGCAAAAATTTGCATATAAGAGTAATTTTTCAACCCTCTTTTCGTATAATGTTTGTGTTTTTTTGGGTTTGCACGCGATCTAGGCGGCGTAGCAACTTCACCGTGGCGTCTAGATATGCGGAATTAAATTCTCTGTCGGGTGGTATTTAATTGTAGAATTAATTCGACTTGTAACCCACGAAAATTTGCATATAAGAATAATTTTTCAACCCTCTTTTCGTGAAATATTTGTGTTTTATCGGGTTTGCACGCGATCTAGGCGGCGTAGTAACTCCAGACATGCGGAAAGAAATTCTCCGTCGGGTGGTATTTCATTGTTGCAGGAATTCGATTTGCAACCCGCGAAAATTTGCATATAAGAGTAATTATTCAACCATTTTTCGTGAAATATTGGTTTTTTTCGAGATGCGGAATTAATTTCTCCGTCGGTATTTAATTGTTGCAGGAATTCGTCCTGCAACCCGCGAAAATGTGCATATAAGAGTAATTTTTCAACCCTTTTTGAAATGTTTGTGTCTTTTCGGCTTGCAATGCTGATCTAGGCGCAGAAGCAACTTCCTCCTGCGGGCGTCTAGATGACAGCGAATTAAATTCTCCGTCGGGTGGTATTTGATTGTTGCAGGAATTCGATTTGCAACCCGCGAAAATTTGCATATAAGAGTAATTATTCAACAATTTTTCGTGAAATATTTGTTTTTTTCGGGTTTGCACGCGATCTAAGCGACGTAGTAACTTCACCGTGGCGTCTAGACATGCGGAATTAAATTCTCTGTCGGGTGGTATTTAATTGTAGAATTAATTCGACTTGCAACCCACGAAAATTAGCATATAAGAATAATTTTTCAACCCTCTTTTCGTGAAATATTTGTTTTTTCTCGGGTTTGCACGCGATCTAGGCGACGTAGTAACTTCACCGTAGCGTCTAGATATGCGGAATTAATTTCTCCGTCGGGTGGTATTTAATTGTTGCAGGAATTCGACCTACAACCCGCAAAAATGTGCATATAAGAGTAATTTTTAACCTTTTTTTGTGAAATGTTTGTGTCTTTTCGGGTTTGCACGCGATCTAGGGGGCGTAGCAACTCCAGCGGAGCGTTTAGATATGCGGAATTAAATTCTCCGTCGGGTGGTCATTAATTTTTGCAGGATATCGACCAGTTACTCGCGAAAATTTGCATATAAGTGTTATTTTTCAACTCTTTTTCGTGAAATATTTGTGTTTTATCGGGTTTGCACGCGATCTATGCGGCGTAGTAATTTCACCGTAGCGTCTAGAGATGCGGAATTAAATTTTCCGTCTGCTGGTATTTAATTGTTATAGGAATTTGACCTGCAACCCCCGAAAATTGGCATATAAGAGTAATTTTTCAACCCTTTTCTTGTGAAATATTTGTTTTTTTCGGATTTGCACGCGATCTATGCGGCGTAGTAATTTCACCGTAGCTACTAGAGATGCGGAAATTAAATTGTCCGTCGCAGGGTATTTAATGGTTGTAGGAATTTGACCTACAACCCCCGAAAATTTGCATATAAGTGTAATTTTTCAACTTTTCGTGAACTATTTTTTGTTTTTCGGCTTACACGCGATCTATGCGAGGTAGCAACTTACCGTAGCGTCTAGGATATGGAATTAAATTCTCTGTCGGTGGTATTTAATTGTGGTGAATTAATCTGACTTGCAACCCGCGAAAATTTCGTATGTATGAATAATTTTCAACCCTCTTTTCGTAAATGTTCGTGTTTTTGGGTTTGCACGCGATCTGTAAGGCGTGCAACTTCACCGCGGCGTCTAGAGATGCGGAATTAAATTTTCCGTCGGGTGGTATTTAATTGTTGCAGGAATTCGATTTGCAAACTCCGCGAAAATTTGCATATACAGTAATTATTCAACCATTTTCGTGAAATATTTGTTTTTTTGGCTCTGCACGCGATCTATGCGGCGTAGTAACTCAACGTAGCGTCTAGATATGCGGAATTAATTTCTCCGTCGTGGGTGGTATTTAATTGTTGTAGGAATTCTCACCTGCAACCCGCGAAAAAATGTGCATAAGAGTAATTTTTCAACCCTTTTTGTGAAATAAGCTCTGTGTTTTTCGGGTTTGCATGCAATCTAGGCGGCGTAGTAACTTCAGCGTGGCGTCTAGAGATGCGGAATTCAAATTTTCCGTCGAGTGGTATTTAATTGCTGCCGGAATTCGACCTACAACCAGCGAAAATTTGCATATAAGAGTAATTTTTCAACCCTATTTCGTGAAATATTTGTGTTTTATCGGGTTTGCATGCGATCTAGGCGGCGTAGCAAACTTCCCGCGGGCGTCTAGATATGCGGAATTAAATTCTCCGCTATGGTATTTGCACTGTTGCAGTAATTCGACCTGGCAACCGGCAAAAATTTGCATATATGGTAAGTAATTTTTTCAACCCTTTTGTGAAATGTTTGTGTTTTTCGGGTTTGCATGCACCCAGGGCGGCGTAGTAACTTCATCATCGTATATCTAAAGATGCAATTAAATTCTCCGTCGGATGGTATTTAATTGTTGCAGGAATTCGGATTTGAAAACCCGCGAAAATGTATAAAAAGTAATTTTTTAACCCTGTGATATGTTTGTGTTTTTTCGGGTTTGCACGCGATCTAGGCGGGCGTAGTAACTTCAGTGGGGCGTCTAGAGATGCGGAACAAATTCAAATTTTCCGGTCTTGTGTTAGTATTGCTTTAAAAGATGCCTATAAAATTAAAATTGCTTTGTAAATGTATTATTTATTATGTTTCTCTCCCCGCACCTATCACTTCCTTAGATATCCAGGAAGAAACAGAAGCTAATAACACTTATTTTTGATTTTTTCTATCACCCCTGTATATAAATTCTTTTCTTTAATGCCCAGTGAAAAATGAGCTATCTATATTGTTTTAAGTGATTTTCTTTTTAATTGAAGATTTTTTTTTTGATACAACTCTGTATATAATTTTCTTCCACTATAGTCACGTAAAGCGAAAACAGGGCCTAATTTGCTATTTTCCAGTAAGTTATCTTTGTAATTTCAGAAAGCAGTTAGTATATGGCTATGCAGGTCAAGTAAACATGTTCTTTAAAATGACATCATTGTTCTCAATATTGTTCCTGCAAGTCTCTGAAGTTGTATTGTATTTTCACTCTGTTAATAAAGAAATGTAAAAGGCAATGGTAATATCTTATGGTTTTGCGCACCTCCCTCTCTATCATTTCAGGTATAGGTCAACAGAGAGTATTCTCTAGTTAGTGTTGTCGTCGGTTCTGAAAGAGACGACTTTGGAAATATATCTACAAGTCCTTATATAATGAGCCTTCCCACCGGGATGATCCCCACTTATAAAAAATTGTTAAGGTATCCTGTATGATTTGTGTACTCCATCTTTCATTTCAGGTACAGGTAAGAACTTGTAAGAATATTTTTGAAGTGTCCCTCCCTTTGAGGCGACTTAAAAATTAGAAATTTTTACAAGTTCTTAAAAAGGATGTCCTTATAAGGGGAGTCCCTCTCTGGGGATGATCCCCCACCATAAAAATTTGTTGATATGCCTGATAATTCCGGGGATGAAGCGCAGAGACATCGTGTAGCTGCAGGGATGCCGAGCAATGGATGACTGAAGCGCAGATCGACCAGGATGCCGGGGCGCTCTGGGAGATCGACCGTAGACTGCCCTGAGAATGGATTACGTGCCAAAAAATTTAAAATTTTGCCTACCCCTCTATTCTTTATTTCTTCCTTGTACTTCTTCCTTCTTTTCTGTTTTCCTTCTCCCTCCTATTCTCTTCTACTTATTCTTACCGTTGTTTCTTGTCGTATTCTGCTTTTCAAGTTATTTCTAACATATGAATTTTGAATTTTGTGGGTATGCAACCCACATTTCGTACCCCTTATTATTTAATAAAATTCAAGCGTCTACAACTGAGACTCGATCCACGAACCTCCAGCATGCTAGCATATGCACATGCCACCTGAGCCACAACGCTCACTTATCAAACTCTATTCGTTTCAGGTATAAATGTTGTTCTGTATCTCACCTTTTTAAAAACATCAACATTTATACATCGCTTATACGCATTTCAAACACAGGTAATCAAATATAATATAATCTTTAAATCTAATTCTGAAAACGACAATAGGAACACAGAGAGATAACTGCTTCAAAATATACTATTAAATTATATTTTATTCAAACTCATTTAATCAAGACAGTACATACACAAATTTAAGTACATGTGTTCAACGTTACTTACAAAAGTGACTTAAGTTACAAGTTACACTTACTTGAATGTTTAATCTTCACAAACTGGTACGGATTAGATTTCCACACAGGAAACAATCGAAGTATATTTCCACGTTTGAATTATTTAATAAATGTACAAAAATATATAAATCCAGTAAGAATTCTTCGTGTCGACGAGAGATATCCGATGGCCGACGGCAAAAACGTGCGAACAATGTAAAACTGCACAATTCTGGCTTCCACGCGCGATAATTCATTAACTGCACGCCGCACTAGTCCGTTAATTCTAAATGTTATCTGTGCTAATCGATTCAAATTCAACTACCGACTTAAAATCACAAGAAACGCGCAAACTAGTTACGAAGATCGACTTGTGATCCAAACACGTGTGTTCCGAACAACATCGCACGATCGACTAAACAAGGAAAAGATATAGCAGGCTACGTGAACGGAGCAGATAAAAAAATGATAAGAATTTCAATACTCACAATTGAATGCGGGCACGATTGCACGATCTCGTACACCAAGATCACGTTCAACTCCTTGACGTCTAAAAACAAACACAAATCAGATGCGCTGTGATTTGTGACTTCAATTCATTTTTAATTCGCTAATTTAACTAAAACTTTATAGCACCCAAATATAAAGATAACAAAAATAAGATTTAATATGGTAATAATATATTTTTTACTATGTAAATTTTCTCATCACAATAGTCTTCAACAAATGTTGCATCCACATTGTAATATCCGACTGATGAAACTCACAAGAAGACACTAAATTTGCGCATTTATGAAAATTTTAAACACAATTCATCGTAACTCATTTGTCATTAACTGCAGTCGATTGCCAATTGAATATTACACTTTAAAAACACGAGATATAATACTACGGAGATGCGCTAAGACTGCACAACTAACCTGCCGGGGCCAAGGACAGATGACAATATTGAGTGCGCAAGCAAAGTAAAGTATGCAGCGCATGCGTACATGTTGGATTCTACCGGTAAGTGCGTATATAGAAGAAATTAAATAGTTACAATCTGATATAAGAATGGTTATCCTACGATGTCGAGTTCGGGTTCAAAACATCTAAAACTAGCAAGAATTTGTTCTTCGAACCACAAAAATGCAATTTTTGTTACTAATTAATGAGCTAATGAACAAAGTTATTTATGAAAAAGATAAAGAAAATTTATACTTACAATCTAACAAAAGAATGGTTCTCCTACGATGTCAGGTTCAGGTTCAAAATACCTAAAACGAGCAAAATTAGTTCTTCAAAACACAAAATGCAATTTTTATTGCTAATTGATAAGCTAATCACCAAAGTTATTTACGAAAATGATAAAGAAATTTAATACTTACAATCTGATACAGGATAGCTTCTCCTACGATGTCGGATTCAGTTTCAAAAAACCTAAAACAAACATAAATTAGTCCTTTGAAACACAAAAATGCAATTTTTGTAGCTAATTAATAATCTAATCACCAAAGTTATTTATGAAAATGATAAAGCAATTAAATACTAACAATCTGATACAAGAATGGTTCTCCTACGATGTCGGGTTTAGGTTCAAAATACCTAAAACAAGCATAAATTTGTGCTTCAAAACACAAAAATGCAATTTTTATTGCTAATTGATAAATTAATCACTAAAATAATTTATGAAAATAATAAAGAAATTTAATACTTACAATCTGATGTGAGAATAGTTTTCCTACGATGTCGGGTTCAGGTGCAAAACACCTAAAACAAGCAATAATTTGTTCTTCGAAACACAAAAATGCAATTTTTGTTGCTAATTAATAATCTAATCACCAAAGTTATTTATCAACGTGATTAAGAAATTTATTTCTTACAATCTAATGTGAGAATATTTCTCCTACAGAGTCGGCTTCAGGTGAAAACCCCTAAATCAAACAAAAATTTGGGCTTCAAAACACAAAAATGCAATTTTTGTTGCTAATTTGTAACTTAATCACTAAAATTATTTATGACAGTGATAAAGAAATTTTATACTTACGATCTGATACAAGAAAGCTTCTCCTACGAGGTCGGATTCAGTTTTAAAAAAACCTAAAACAAACACATATTAGTCCTTTGAAATACAAAAATGCAATTTCTGTTGCTAATTATTAAGCTAATTACAAAAGTTAATTATGAAAATGATAAAGAAATTCAATACCTACAATCTGATATAAGAATCGTTTCTCTACAACGTCGGGTTCAGTTTCAAAACACCTAAAACAAGCAAAAATTAGTCCTTCGAAACACAAAAATGCAATTTTTGTTACCAATTAATATGCTAATCACTGAAGCTATTTATGAAAATAATAAAGAAACTTAATACTTACAATCTGATACCAAAATGGTTCTCCTACGATGTCGACTTCAGGTTCAAAACACCTAAAACAATCAAAAATTAGTCCTTCGAAACATAAAAATGCAAATTTTTGTTGCTAATTATTTAGCTAATTACTATAGTTATTTATGAAAATGATAATGAAATTTAATACTTACAATCTGATATAAGAATCGTTCTCCTATGATGTGGGGTTCTGGTTCAAAACACCTAAAACAAGCGAAAATTAGTCCTTCGAAACACTAAAATGCAAGTTTTGTTATTAATTAATAAGCTAATCACCAAAGTTATTTATAAAAATGATAAAGCAATTAAATACTTACAATCTGATACAAGAATGGTTCTCCTACGATGTCGGGTTCAGGTTCAAAACACCCAAAACAAGCAAAAATTAGTCCTTCAAAACACAAAAATGCAATTTTTGTTGTTAATTAATAAGCTAATCACCAATGTTATTTATGAAAATGATAAAGAAATTTAATACTTACAATCTGATACAAAAATGATTCTCCTAGGCCGTCGGATTCAGGTTCAAAACACCTAAAATCAGCAAAAATTAGTCATTCGAAACACAAAAATGCAATTTTTGTTGCTAATTAATAAGCTAATCACCAAAGTTATTTATGAAAATGATAAAGAAATTTGTTACTTACAATCTGATACATGAATGATTCTCCTAGGACATCGGGTTCGGGTTCAAAAGACCAAAAACAAGCAAAAATTAGATCTTCGAAACACAAAAATGCTATTTTTATTGCTAATTAATAAGCTAATCACCAATGTTATTTATGAAAATGATAAAGAAATTTGTTACTTACAATCTGATACATGAATGATTCTCCTAGGACATCGGCTTCAGGTTCAAAACACCTAAAATAAGCAAAAATTAGTTCTTCGAAACACAAAAATGCAATTTTTGTTGTTAATTAAGAAGCTAATCACCAATGTTATTTATGAAAATGATAAAGAAATTTAATACTTACAATCTGATACATGAATGATTCTCCTAGGACATCGGCTTCAGGTTCAAAACACCTAAAACAAACAAAAATTAGTTCTTCGAAGCACAAAAATGCAATTTTTGTTGTTAATTAATAAGCTAATCACCAATATTATTTATGAAAATGATAAAGAAATTTGTTACTTACAATCTGATACATGAATGATTCTCCTAGGACATCGGCTTCAGGTTCAAAACACCTAAAACAAACAAAAATTAGTTCTTCGAAGCACAAAAATGCAATTTTTGTTGTTAATTAATAAGCTAATCACCAATATTATTTATGAAAATGATAAAGAAATTTAATACTTACAATCTGATGAAAAAATAGTTTTCCTTCGAGGTCGAGTTCACGTGCAAAACACCTAAAACAAGCAAAAATTAGTCCTTCAAAACACAAAAATGCAATTTTTGTTGTTAATTAATAAGCTAATCACCAATGTTATTTATGAAAATGATAAAGAAATTTGTTACTTACAATCTGATACATGAATGATTCTCCTAGGACATCGGGTTCGGGTTCAAAAGACCAAAAACAAGCAAAAATTAGATCTTCGAAACACAAAAATGCTATTTTTGTTGCTAATTAATAAGCTAATCACCAATGTTATTTATGAAAATGATAAAGAAATTTGTTACTTACAATCTGATACATGAATGATTCTCCTAGGACATCGGCTTCAGGTTCAAAACACCTAAAACAAACAAAAATTAGTTCTTCGAAGCACAAAAATGCAATTTTTGTTGTTAATTAATAAGCTAATCACCAATATTATTTATGAAAATGATAAAGAAATTTAATACTTACAATCTGATGAAAGAATAGTTTTCCTTCGATGTCGAGTTCACGTGCAAAACACCTAAAACAAGCAAAAATTAGGCCTTTGAAACACCATAAAGTATTGTCAATAATACAATTTTTGTTGCAACGCGAGCAAACAAATTACAAACTCAAAATAAAATGATAACAACCGCGAGAAACACGCCCGAGTCAATCAACGACCTGCTCATAGCTGCGCTGAGTGGCGCTGAGCATACCGCGCAGCGCAGTCAGCAACGCGGCATGATAATACGCGATAATACTGCGCGCACGCTCCAAGAAAACGGGCACTATTTGCAACAAATAATGTTTCATGCAGAATAATCAACTCAGGACTCAGGGAATGAAAGAATGCGCCAAAATCACTTGGATAATATATGCAAGATGCGTATAAACCAGCGGTAGCAAATGACTCGCGATATTGCAATACTATTACCGAATTAGAAAAGAAACTTTGTGAACTGCGACTGTGATCACCCAATGAGAAACGAACTTTAAAACCGGCGAACGTCGAACGTACGAACAACGCACAAAATAAGACTGATTCGAAATAAATTGCGGACGAAAATAAACTTGTAAAAAAACGCGTGTAGCGCTATCTATTGACAAGCAAAATAATGAGGCAGCAGAAAGTTGCACAAAGACTTAAACCACTAGCGCCATCTAGTGGCAAGGGACCAATATACTCAATTTTTGTAGAAAACTGTAAGACCGTACAGCCTTTCTCCCGAACCAGTTATTTTTCTGTTGTGTAGGCTACATGATTGGCAAGCACAAAAGTTTAATTCTACAGCAATTTTATTGTATTGTAGTTTATATGTACCACGAAAAATAAGAATGCAATTTTTGTTGCTAATTAATAATTTAATCACAAAAATTATTTCTGAATATGATAAAGAAATTCAGCGCTTACAATCTGATACGAGAATATTTCTCCTACGATGTCGGGGTCAGGTGCAAAATCCAGACAGCAAGCAAGAATTAGTCCTTTGCTAAACAAGAATACAATTTATGTAGCAAATTAAAATTTTTAATTATGATGAGGATGAAGTGATTACGCACTCAGCAACCACCCCAAAGAATAGTATGTTTATATAATAACAATTATGTTATATTGTAATAATGTCTCGATTTTATTTATTTAAAAATCGTGATATCAAAACAAAATGTTGCTTCTTTGCCCCGGGTCTCTCTTGGTAGACGTCGACGGTGGCAAGAGTTGAGTGTTTCTTCCTAAAACAGTAAACATATTTTAATTGAAATAAACAATAGTTTTATAACCAGATTTGTAATGGTTTTATCAAGAGTCGTTTTGCAACATCCATTTCTGATTTAAATAAAAATATTTTCATAGATGTATAAATTGAATAAATGAAGTTAACTTGCAGGTCGTTCCGGAACAATTACTGTCGATATGCATCTTCACATCTCTCATCAATAAACGCAGTCAGTTACATTTGCAACGATTGTATCTCTGTGTTCATTTTGCAGTCCACTACACTACTTCTAGATTACGACTACAGCTACAACTACAACCTACGACTACGCGCTTGCTATGACTACACTACACTACACTACGAACTGCTCGTGAACACATGAAACACAACCTTGCGTTATCTCATTCTGACATTTGTAGATCAATTTTATGTTCTCTATAGAATATGACATCTTCCATTATAATGTTTCGTCTTCTTAACTTTCAAGTTCTTTTGGCAAAACTAAAACAAAAAACATCAAAGCAATTAAAAAAATTATAACAATAAATGTTTTTTGGTGCTGGATAATTGTTGTTGTCGCATGTCCTCTATTAGTTAAATCCCGACAGTGGCAAGAAATGTTGTAACCCAGCTTCTATGAATAAAGAATATTTAATGAATTAATAATATTGTAAGCAAAATTTGATTGTAAAAATCCTTACCTCAGCATCTTGGCGGCTGTTTATACCCCTAGAGGCAGCAGCCCATTCCTGGATGGGTATACACATCGAGCCCTGACCCCCAAAGGCTTGTGCTCGCTGAGAAGCTGGATACGTCAGGATCGACCGCGGCGTGGATGCAACTGCTCCACATCGGCCTCTTCTCCAGCTACAGATAACATTAACAAAATAAGTAAATAAACAATTTTGTAAATAAATTTATTCTTATAACATTTACCTCAGTTTCTTTTTAGCTTTGCGAGGGTAGGAACCCATTCCTTGATGGGTATACACATCAGGCCCTGACCCTTCGGGGCAGCTAGAAATCTGACCGATTTTGGAACCTTCAGGATCGACCTCGGCGGGGACGGATAACATCATCTTCTTCGGCTTCTGTTAACAGAAAAAATAAATAAACTTAAATATTATTGAAACCAAAAATTAATTGTTATTGTTACTCACTTCAACTTCTTATGAAATGAGCCTTATTTAAATAGAACGCGTCATCTCTCTTTGGCCCTCAGGATAGAAGGATCTTCTTGTTTCGCATTCAAAAGCAAAACAACAACGTGCAACATGACAATTAATTCAATGACTATGACTTTTCGTGCAGTTAAAAAATGTGTATAAACTGTTGATGCATCTGTAAAGTAATTATTAAATATCTCAGAACTCCCGCACTGTATTACAACACTCGCGCACTCCCGCACTAACCCTTGCTTAGGTAACTAAACGCACCATACATACATACATACATACATACAATATAATGTATGTGTACTGCACATTCTGTTGACATCAGCATTTCAGAATTTCCATTCTCATTTCATTTCTCTTTCTGAGATTTATTCATTTCAATTTTCAGTTGATGATAAAATTCCTAGTTCCAATATCTGTTATCCTTCTTCTGGGGTTCTGTTTATTGTTTTCTGCGTCCTGAACAATAGTTAAACAGTGACATTGAAAAATAATGATGCGCGCACTTATATTTGAACACTACTCACTCACTTCACTGCACTACTGCACTGCACTAATATATGTTATTTATGATAATGTGTATTATGTGTTGGTGATTGTGTTAAAATGTAAGGTAAGTTGTGCCGAAGCACACCAATACCCAAGAACCCTGACAATGATCATGAACAGGGCAAAAAGTGTAAATGTGTGTGAGTGTAAGTGTATGTAATTGTTTTCACTCCCGCACTATGAAACAACACTCGCGCACTGTAATACACAACCCTTCACTGCACTGCACATTCATTTCCAATCTCATTTCATTTCTCTTTCTGAGATTTATTCATTTCCATTTTCAGTTGATGATGAAATTCCTAGTTCCAATATCTGTTATCCTTCTTCTGGGGTTCTGTTTACTGTTTTCTGCGTCCTGGACAGTTGTTAAACAGTGACACTGAAAAATAATGATGCGCGCACTTATATTTGAACACTACTCACTCACTTCACTTCACTGCACTGCACTAATATATATGTTATTTATGATAATGTGTATGTGTTGGTGATTGTGTTTAAATGTAAGGTAAGATGTGCCGAAGCACACCAATACCCAAGAACCCTGACAATGATCATGAACAGGGCAAAAAGTGTAAATGTGTGAGGGTGTGTAAGTGTATGTAATTGTTAACTAAAGAAATTTGGATTTCACTCCCGCACCATGATACAACACTCGCGCACTATATAAAAACACACAAACACTATTATTTATCACAGTTATTGTTGTTATTCATGTTCATTCCAATTTCCAAATTGATTTCTTGCTCTTCTCAATTTGTTGATTCTAACTTGAAGTTTTAACATAGTTTCGTTTGAATTCTTGATTCTGTACATGACTGTTAACTGATAGTTGCCTGATTGATTCTACGAAGATCAGTTGAAATTAAAGCAGATTTTGTTTACCATTTTATTCGTTTGCTATTGATACTGGCTGGTCCATGGTTGCTTTTCCATTTAAATAGCTTTTTTTCTCCAATGAGAACCCATATTTATTTCATTCGATTAAAGATCGTTTTCTGGATTCTGAATCGATTACAATAATTCGTCTTCTAGCATTGAAGTTCTTTTGGAAAAACTAAGAAAAACAAATCAAATTATTAAAGCAATTAAAAATTCATAATTTGTGTACATATTTATGCCCCTTATTCCCTATACTTGAAACCTCATCTTGATCTCTAAGGAAATGATGTCATCATCCAGCTCCTATAAATAATTATATACATATTAATGAGTACGTAATCTATTTAACATCAGACTAATAATTCAAATCATGTACAATATTAAAATCTTATTTAAATTCTATAATTAAGATAATATTAATAATATTTTGAGCAGAATGTAATTAATTTTGATTGTAATGACACTCACCTCAGCATCTTGGAGGCTGTTCAATCCTCTGGAGGCAGCAGCTCATTCCTTGATGGGTATACACATCGAGCCCTGACCCCAAAGGCTTTTTCTCGCTGAGAAGCTGGATACGTCTGGATCGACCGCGGCGTGGATGGAACTGCTCCGCACCTGTTCTCCAGCTACAGATAACATTAACAAAATAAGTAAATAAACAATTTTGTATTAATAAATTTATTCTTATAACATTTACCTCAATTTCTTTCCGGCTTTGCGAGGGTAGGAACCCATTCCTTGATGGGTATACACATCAGGCCCTGACCCATAGGGACAGTTGGAAAGCTGGCTGATTTGGGACCTTCAGGATCGACCTCGGCGGGGACGGATAACATCATCTTCTTCGGCTTCTGTTAACAGTAAACATAAATAAAATTAAATATTATTGAAACCAAAAATTAATTGTTATTGTTACTCACTTCAACTTCCTATGAAATGGGCCTTATTTAAATAGATTGCGTCATCTCTTCTTGGTCCTCAGGATGGAAGAATCTTCTTGTTTCGCATTCAAAAGCAAGACAACAACGTGCAACATGACAATTAATTCAGTGACTTTTAATTTTCGTGCAGTTAAAAAATACGTATAAATTGTTGATGCATCTGTAAAGAAATTATTAAATATCTCAGCACTTCCGCACTATATTGCAACACTCGCGCACTCCTGCACTAACACTTGCTTAATGCACAATATAATTCAACACTTGCGCACTATAATACACAACACTTCACTGCTCTGCACATTCTGTTGACATCAGCATTTCAAAATTTCCAATCTCATTTCATTTCTCATACTGAGATTTATTCATTTCCATTTTCAGTTGATGATGAAATTCCTAGTGCCAATATATATATTATCCTTCTTCTGGGGGTTTGTCTTTTGTTTTCTGCGTCCTGAACAGTTGTTAAACAGTGACATTGAAAAATAATGATGCGCGCACTTATATTTGAACACTACTCACTCACTTCACTGCACTACTGCACTGCACTAATATATCTGTTATTCATGATAATGTGTATTATGTGTTGGTGATTGTGTTAAAATGTAAGGTAAGATATGCCGAAGCACACCAAAACCCAAGAACCCTGACAATGATCATGAACAGAGTAAAAAGTGTAAATGTGTATGTGTGTGTGTGTAAATGTATGTAATTGTTAACTAAAGCAATTTGAATTTCACTCCCGCACTATAATACACAACACTTCACTGCACTGCACATTCGGTTGACATCAGCATTTCATAATTTCTATTCTCATTCCATTTCTTTTTCTGAGTTTTATTCATTTCCATTTTCAGTTGATGATAAAATTCCTAGTTCCAATATCTATTATCCTTCTTCTGGGGTTTTGTCTTCTGTTTTCTGCGTCCTGAACAATTGTTAAACAGCAATAATAATGCGCACACTTATATTTAAACACTACTCACTCACTCACTTCACTGCACTGCACTAATATTTATGTTATTTATGATAATGTGTATGTGTTGGTGATTGTGTTAAAATGTAAGGTAAGATGTGCCGAAGCACACCAAAACCCAAGAACCCTGACAATGATCATGAACAAGGCAAAAAGTGTGAGTGTATGTGTGTATGTATGTAAGTGTAAAAACTGATGAAATTCGATTTTCACTCCCGCACTATGAAACAACACTCGCGCACTACAATACACAACACTTCACTGCACTGCAAATTCTGTTGACATCAGCATTTCATAATTTCCATTCTCATTCCATTTCTTTTTCTGAGTTTTATTCATTTCCATTTTCAGTTGATGATGAAATTTCTAGTTTCAATATCTATTATCCTTCTTCCGGGGTTTTGTATATTACATTTGAACACTACTCACTCACTTCACTGCACTGCACTAATATATATGTTATTTATGATAATGTGTATGTGTTGGTGATTGTGTTAAAATGTAAGGTAAGATGTGCCGAAGCACACCACTACCCAAGAACCCCGTCAATGATCATGAACAAGGCAAAAAGTGTGACTGTATGTGTGTATGTATGCAAGTGTAAAAACTGATGAAATTCGATTTTCACTCCCGCACTATAATTCAACACTCGCGCACTATATTGCAACACTCGCGCATTAGTAATTATGAACAACACTGCACAGAAGTTGATACGACTCCTGCATGTGTTTTCTATGTAAACAACACACGCGCACTATATAAAAATACACAAACACAATTATAATATCGACAGTCCCGCACTATATTCAACACACGCGCACTATATAAAATGCACAAACACAATTATATCAATTCCAATGCTAATTTCAATTTGATTCAGTTTATCCATTTTTCCCAATGTATCAAACTTGAAGTTGATTCTTTGGTTCAGGATCCATTAGGTATATCTTCGATTTTTCGTCCTTTCGGAATAATTCGATTCGCCAATATTTTTCATTTTCTTAATGATTTTATCTTCATACGAGTACATCTTTGGGAAAATTCTCCATCTGTTTGGTTTCTTCGTGTCTTATTATAAATGATGCAATTTGAAGTTGGCTGCCTGCAAATGTTTTCCCCAGAAAATGAAATCTAATTCAATATTTGAGTATCATTCTTCATTTTATTCGGTTCCTGTTGTTGCTGACCCAATGTTGTATGGTTTTAATTTATGTTATTTATGATGATGTGAAAAATGTGTAGGTGTAGTAATGTTAAAAATGTCAGGTAAAGCAGTGCCGAGACACAGCAATACCTTGGCCCAGTCAATGATCATGAACAGGGTAGAAAGTGTAAGTGTATGTGTGTGTGTGTGTGTGTGTGTGTGTGTGAGTATGTAACTGTTGACCGATTGACTCTAAATGTTTTAATGCAAAATTGAAATGAAGTCCAGTTGAAATTAAAGCAGATTTTGTTTACCAAATATTAACGAGTACAAGTTTCCAATTGATACAGACTGGTTCTTGGTTTCTCATTTCTACAATTCCACCCATTTAAAATCTTCTTCTTCCTTTGGTATATTGCAGAAATTCTTTCCCGTCATATCAGAATCCCGTTTCTTGAATTATCTTCTTTATCCATTGATGAATAATGATGGATTGACATTTGCAGCAGCAAAGCATTCAGCTTTTCGAGTTCACTTTGAGCGGTTTTCCATAAATTTTAACAGACACAAGGACTAGTAATAAATGATTATTAATACATTCATATCAATGATTCTACCAGTTCACCAAGCACTTCGAATACCTGTATCAAACAAACAAGCAAACAAAGTTGTGACTAGTAAATTTCAAGAATAGAACACAAAACAGCACAGAACATCCACAATGGCTTAGCATCCCGGATCCTGCAACATAAATTAAAATATTAGTAATCAATTCAAACAAAACGCCCTGAAAACATAGAAGAAATATGTGATTAGTACATAAAAAGTGCTAAAAGAAATACATAATTCATTAGTGAGGATTTTTGGAACTCATTCACACACACAATACAAATTAAAATAACAATAACAAATACGAAAAATAAACAAATGTCACCTAAAAGAGAAATAAATTTGATTAGCACACACATATAAATTGCTGTAAGAAAAAAGACATTAATGAGGATAAGGAAGGACCTAAAACCCTACCTAATGACAACCAATAGCTAATTCGCGATTACCCTGAAAGCGGAAAAAGATTAGTACACAAATTTCTAAAGAATATTCATCATTCACACAGCTAAGAGGAGTAGGATACTTATAACTATTTTAATAAGACCTGCCTTTGTCCCTACCTAAGTACCTACATGAGATAGCTTAGTGAGCACAAACCGCTTATAATAAAAAAGAGCGCACCTAACCCGCGACGCGTTTGGCGATTTGTGCTCAAAGTGCAAAACGGTTTTGCCGAATATAAAGAAAGTGACCGACTGCCACATCCCAGCGGCAGCAGCCGGCTTTTGGTAGACCAAAATTTAACACGACATACACAAATGAAATGAAATACAATACAGTGCAACACAATCATACAAAGTAATAATACATTCAACAATCAATCCATTCATTCTTAAAATTGTTTACTGTTGCAGATTTGACTCTGCCAAAAAATGCCCCGACCGATGCATTGATTTAATTTGTGTTATTTGTGGTGTTCTGCGTGAACAGAACGTGTAAGTGTTGTGTTGAGAATGTAAGGTAATGAATGTGCCTAGACACACCAAATACCCAAGAACCCCGTCAATGATCATGAACAGAGCAAAAAGTGTAAGTGAGTGTGGGGTATGTGTTTAGTGTTGTGTGTGAGTGTGTGTAAGATTATACGTGCGTTCGAACAAAAACGGAAAATAAACAAAATTCAGTTGCTACACGAGCAAATTTTAAGCAAAGTGTTCACGGTGACACATACGAGTAAGTTGAATGCAAATTGTAAATAAACTATTCGCAATAATACTTTAGTTTTGAAATGATTTTGACTTTGAAACGCGATTGAATTTACCGCGATCCGTGATAGGTATAATAAAGGTAAACTCACTACTTATAGACATCCGGCGTTTCTAGCAATGCTGGGAGGATTAGTCGAATGACCAAGTACTGGTTTCACACGCCACCCCCAGATACAAGAGTGACATGCATACGCCAGCCTTCTGATCAGTGACATCACCCCTGCCTACCTTAATCCCATGTCGCATGGCCAGGTTTGTGCAACATTTCGTAGGAGAATCCGGAGAGTTGGAAGAGATTGGTTGGAGGTCGGGCCATTCCTCATCTATCGGGTTATCCTTCTTTCATATGTCCATGCTCCATTCCATTTCCCTCCATCACCTGGTCTCATCTGGTGTGGCATTGCACAACACTCTAAAAACAAAAAATTTTAATTATTAAAAATATTATTACCGAATTATTTATTAGTATTGCATGCAGGTAAATAAAAGTGTAAAGTAAAGAACATTATAAGACAACTTACCAAAGTCATTGGGTCATCTTTCTACCCCCTGATGTTGGTGATGGATTAGGGATGATGTGTTTCCTGACATTCAGTGGTAATTGTCGATCAGTATAGCTCCTAAAAAGATTATATAATAATTAGTAAATTAGAGTAATTATTTTAGTTTTTAAACTCACTTCTTGGGTTCAGTAGACTGTTGCAAAAGATAATAATTTGGCAATCTAATATGACTGTTGTTGTGAACATAATATCTGCTCATGATGACTGTTGACTGATTCTGTAAATAAAAGTAGATTTTAAAAATAATTTTCATTTTACAAGAAACATTTTTAATAAGATTTTAACTTTTAGTAACTCGAAGATAAAAATGTTTTAAAATGCAATAAATTACTCACCCATTAAATTGTACAATCCGTTGTGCAGGCTTCATTGGTGCAATCTAATTGTAAAAAAACGGTTATGTTCATGGTTATTAACCGTTGAGCATCATATAGTGGCGTCATCATGTTCCGACCAATCACGAAGCACCACTGTGAACGTTGAGAAGATTTTGCGGCCATCATGGAAGCCGACAGCGACATCGGGTTCCAACCAAACATGACACGCTGTAAAAGGAAAGCGTTAGCCGGCCATTTTGAATTTTTGTGGCGTTGTTTCGGTTTCGACCAATTACGGAGCAGCACGCCGACGCTTGAAAAATTTTTTTTCGGGTGATTGAAAATTTTTTTTAACCCTAATTAAACGAGACATGTAAGACTTGTTGTGTGTAACTGAAGATATGATTGATTGATTGATTCGACTAATTCATTAAAAAACAATATGAATATATGAAATTAGGTGCTTTTCTATTCCCGTTCTTTGTTTCAGCTACTTATGTCGCGACTGTACTTTGCTTTAAAATCTATTAAAAAGTATAAATTACTTACTTGAGCGGCCAATTGTTATTTTACGCGTGTTGATTATCTATTTCTAGATATTCTAACTTGAGTTCTTGTTTAAAAAGAATAATTATTTTATTTTTTAAATTTTTTGTGGATTCAACTACAGGACCAACGCCTCGAACGACCCGCACAGCACGACGATAAAACCGCAAATGGACAATGGCCGAAGCTGCAGTTCCTTCTTCCTGTAGACAAAGGGGTGGGGGTAAAAAATGCCAACTTTTGACTCACTATGTAATTAGGGACTTCCTATAATTCAAAATTGATTGAATGTGACAATAACTTATTTGATGATTTTTCACATAATTTTAAGGGTCAGTGGTGCAATATTACGGCAACAGTTTAAGTATTAACCTTTACATGTTGTTATTATCGGAAATCATTTATTTCTCAAAAAAATTATCACTTACGGTTAATCTTATTTTAAATGAAGAGAATTAAGCGCGCTTTTCACGTACAGTTCTGTGGAAGGGTTTGCTTCTAACTTGTGTAAGATTTTAAATCCCGCCCGAAATCACGACCTTTGCGATAATCGACGTAGTGTGAACATTTATTCAACCACTTCTCAAATGTTAACTCAGACTTTAAAACTAAGTTTCGCCGCTTTTAAATTGCACCAGAAAGTGTTATCTTCGAAAATGTAATATAAGTTAATATTTTCCAGAGGCTTCACTCTTGCGCCTGCAACAGGTAGTTTTATAGAAAATGTACGGTTTTCCTGCACAGAAAATGACAATTCCACGACGGCTAATCGTTAGATCATCTCATAAACTATCGATACCGATGCTCTGATGTTGCTGACACGTTTTGTGGAGGATGTGAAAACACGCGGTGTGCTGAACCTCAATTTGCAACATTGTTGTAGGCTCCCTCAAGTGAATTGCACCTCAGAATCTGCAAAATTAGGTAAAATTCATGTAAAAAGCTCAAGAAATAGTTAAACAACTAACCACTTTTAAAACACGAATAATTGAACTACATGTTCGAAGATTTAACTTAAAAAACTTGAAACCACAATGTGTTTGATTTAATTTGTTTAAAACTATAATTTATCATCAAATAAATGTAAAAAAATTATAATTTGAACATGAAATAATGTTTGAAGATTCTGTTTTTTAAGTCACTTTTTTTTGTTACAGACACAATTTAAAACCTGATATCTGCTTTTGGTTGCCATTGGTGATGAACAGTGAAAGAGGAGGAAATTTGCAATTCTGACTGCCAGCGCTTCTTAAGCTAGTTAAGATACCCCTAAACGTTGTGTTTGCATTTATGGCTGATTAAATTCTGTTCTAACTGCATTTGGTTAATTTAATATGACTGTTGTTGTGAACATAATATCTGCTCATGATGACTGTTGACTGATTCTGTAAATAAAAGTAGATTTTAAAAATAATTTTCATTTTACAAGAAACATTTTAATAAGATTTTAACTTTTAGTAACTCGAAGATAAAAATGTTTTAAAATGCAATAAATTACTCACCCATTAAATTGTACAATCCGTTGTGCAGGCTTCATTGGTGCAATCTAATTGTAAAAACGGTTATGTTCATGGTTATTAACCGTTGAGCATCATATAGTGGCGTCATCATGTTCCGACCAATCACGAAGCACCACTGTGAACGTTGAGAAGATTTTGCGGCCATCATGGAAGCCGACAGCGACATCGGGTTCCAACCAAACATGACACGCTGTAAAAGGAAAGCGTTAGCCGGCCATTTTGAATTTTGTGGCGTTGTTTCGGTTTCGACCAATTACGGAGCAGCACGCCGACGCTTGAAAAATTTTTTTCGGGTGATTGAAAAATTTTTAACCCTAATTAAACGAGACATGTAAGACTTGTTGTGTGTAACTGAAGATATGATTGATTGATTGATTCGACTAATTCATTAAAAAACAATATGAATATATGAAATTAGGTGCTTTTCTATTCCCGTTCTTTGTTTCAGCTACTTATGTCGCGACTGTACTTTGCTTTAAAATCTATTAAAAGTATAAATTACTTACTTGAGCGGCCAATTGTTATTTTACGCGTGTTGATTATCTATTTCTAGATATTCTAACTTGAGTTCTTGTTTAAAAGAATAATTATTTTATTTTTAAATTTTTGTGGATTCAACTACAGGACCAACGCCTCGAACGACCCGCACAGCACGACGATAAAACCGCAAATGGACAATGGCCGAAGCTGCAGTTCCTTCTTCCTGTAGACAAAGGGGTGGGGGTAAAAAATGCCAACTTTTGACTCACTATGTAATTAGGGACTTCCTATAATTCAAAATTGATTGAATGTGACAATAACTTATTTGATGATTTTTCACATAATTTTAAGGGTCAGTGGTGCAATATTACGGCAACAGTTTAAGTATTAACCTTTACATGTTGTTATTATCGGAAATCATTTATTTCTCAAAAAAATTATCACTTACGGTTAATCTTATTTTAAATGAAGAGAATTAAGCGCGCTTTTCACGTACAGTTCTGTGGAAGGGTTTGCTTCTAACTTGTGTAAGATTTTAAATCCCGCCCGAAATCACGACCTTTGCGATAATCGACGTAGTGTGAACATTTATTCAACCACTTCTCAAATGTTAACTCAGACTTTAAAACTAAGTTTCGCCGCTTTTAAATTGCACCAGAAAGTGTTATCTTCGAAAATGTAATATAAGTTAATATTTTCCAGAGGCTTCACTCTTGCGCCTGCAACAGGTAGTTTTATAGAAAATGTACGGTTTTCCTGCACAGAAAATGACAATTCCACGACGGCTAATCGTTAGATCATCTCATAAACTATCGATACCGATGCTCTGATGTTGCTGACACGTTTTGTGGAGGATGTGAAAACACGCGGTGTGCTGAACCTCAATTTGCAACATTGTTGTAGGCTCCCTCAAGTGAATTGCACCTCAGAATCTGCAAAATTAGGTAAAATTCATGTAAAAAGCTCAAGAAATAGTTAAACAACTAACCACTTTTTAAAACACGAATAATTGAACTACATGTTCGAAGATTTAACTTAAAAAACTTGAAACCACAATGTGTTTGATTTAATTTGTTTAAAACTATAATTTATCATCAAATAAATGTAAAAAAATTATAATTTGAACATGAAATAATGTTTGAAGATTCTGTTTTTTAAGTCACTTTTTTTTGTTACAGACACAATTTAAAACCTGATATCTGCTTTTGGTTGCCATTGGTGATGAACAGTGAAAGAGGAGGGAAATTTGCAATTCTGACTGCCAGCGCTTCTTAAGCTAGTTAAGATACCCCTAAACGTTGTGTTTGCATTTATGGCTGATTAAATTCTGTTCTAACTGCATTTGGTTAATTTAATGTATTCATGATGCTAACTTTAGATTTGATGAGAATTTTGATGTTCTGACTGCTAAATCAGATTCAGCGGGAATAAATACAGGTGAGAACATATATAAACAAATTTCTAGTTGGTTCCTAATTGGGTTGCTTTAGGTTTGTAAGGGGATATCGTCCGCCATGTGTTTCAAGTTGGATCGTTGGAACCTTTATGTATTCTTTTGACGGCAAGGCGCCTCGCTTTGCGTAATACTTACTCATTACATGCTGTAATATAAACGCACATGAACCGCTCGACTTAATATTATCAATAGAGGCTTGGTTCCACATACCTGGTTATAGACGGAAACAACGACTTGTCTTGACCATGCCAAGCTGCTTTTTGTGTTTGTTTCTGCGTAGTTTCTTCTTGCTTTTTCTTGTGTTTTGGTTGAAAATAATGAAGTTTTAGCACTCTTAAGCAGCAGCAAATCACGTTACGTATTGCTCATTGCTTTCATTGTCGCACACACGTCTCTTATCAATCCAGAGACCGCACGAAACTAGCGGCAATACACGGACAAGCTTGTTATACAAGAAAAGCAAGAGATGCAAAGCCGGTGCGTTGATAGCACGCTAATCTTAAACGCGAATTGCATTTGGTACCTGTGGCGTGTGTAGAGGTGAGAGCGGCAGACGACAATAATGAGAATTGATATGAAAGTGTAAATTGTAAGTTCAAAACAACTACCTCGTGTCGAATGCTCACGTTTGTCAGATAAATATTTAAATGCAACAGCATCAATCTATTTTATGATTTTTAGTTCACGCTAGCGGCATCTCCGCAATTTAGATTAGGTGCGAGGAGAATTTATTTATTTATAACAAACACTTTATAAATGGTTACAAGAAGCAAGTAAAATAATGCAACCAGTTTTTTTAATTGCATTGAGTAATACATCTTTGTTACATTATGCTTTGGAAGTATTTAATAATTGCTCCAGTCGTTTACTATTGGCATTGAGACTGCAACAACATAGATTTAATGAAAATCGCATTCTTGCAAATAATGCTATCTAACACTTAAATATATAGTAACTTTATCTGTGACATTAATACCAGTATTGCATACATGTACAACCGCGCGTAAGTAAACAATAAAAGAAATAAATATATTTATGTTTGAAAATGATTTGAAATTACAGCTGCACGACGCAAAATTGGAAGAAATCAGCAAACAAAGTATGTGGATTAATCAGTGAATATCAGAAATCTACGAGTATATTATAATGTTTTAGAATGCAGAGAAGTCTACTTACACAGATTTCCACACTCCAGAAACTGAAGTGTGGATTGTGGGTGGAGAGGTGGATATGATGCTAAAGCAAAAGAATATCTCCACATGGTCAGTGTTATGAATCTTCTCGTATTCTATCAAAAGCAAACTATTATTTTTTTACAGGCTGCTCTGGGTTACGGTGAATGGAACAATTTAAAATGGGCATGTGGAGGATCTTTAATTATGAAAAAATTGATGTATTAACACCGCAATGTAATATGCAAACACTCGTAAATTTAGACTTAGATTTAAAATATGAATACTTCAGAGGTCTAAAGCTACAATGATAACGCTGATCCCAAGATTTCAACATAACCCGCACCATAATCCATCCAGATTTAGAAATCCTCCATCAGCATATAATGACATTGCCTTGGTAGAATTAGATCAGCCATTTGAAAAGAACCCGAGAAGGGCACTTTTATTGCGCACCAGCTTGCCTACAAGCCGCTATTGGTTGGGGAGGAACTATTTCGTAGTTAGAAACGCAGCGCGTTTACAGGTGATAAGGTTACTAAGTAAAAGCAGAGCACAGTGTATGTGATGAAGCATACTCAAAAACAGGAAAAAGAAGATTACTGAAAAGGGAGTTGATGATGATAGTCAGATGTATGCAGGAGACGAACATATTGATACTTGTCAAATATAATACTATTTATGTAAATGTCGTAGTAAATTAATTGTTATTATCAATATTGACTTTTTTATAGGGTGATTCTGGGGACCACTACAAGTAGAAAATGCAGAGTACAGTACAGGTTACACAATTGGAATTAACTTCTCTTTTGGAAAACCTTATCCTGACTAGAAACCAGGAGTAGGTATATACAAGAGTCTCACATTATATTGAGTGGATTGAATCTATTGTTTGGCCAATCATCAAATTTGAGTAAATTGTAATAATTAAGCTGGTATTGTAAAAGATATTGTTTTTGAAATAAAAAAGAAAATTTCATCTATAATATAATCTCTGTCTACACTTGAAAAGAAGTGAAACTGTTGTTAAGTTTTTAATCCATTTCCTAGTAGCAAATAGCAAAAAACTGGTTTTACTTGTACAGGAATAACAAAGTAATTAAATATGTGAAGATTAGTAGTTAACATTATAAACGTGGTTTAATTGCAGATTGACATTGAATCAGTGCAGTTGTAAACACTCAACTCAAACTCGAGTTATAATAAAAGCGTGAAAAGTTTAAACAATGTACGCGCATCTAACAAAACTAGTAATTTTGATAGAACGGTAAGTTGAAACTTTTTCAAGTAGATGAATGTAATCTCGCAAATTGCACTAGTGTACGAGAAGTTGGCGAAATCAGTAGGTAAACAAAGTGAGTATGATTTTAATATACACGTAAATAATTAGTGACATATAACATTTCACTCTTAATCTTTTTTACAGAATGCAAGGAAGTGTATTTGAATAGAATAGTGGAAAAAATAATTGGAGGCGGTGGATACGATGCACAAGCTCGAGAATATCCCCATATGGTTTTACCGCCATTATTTTTATTTTAGGTGGCATTGGGTTATGATCATGATAATGAAGTAAAATGGGGTTGTGGAGGATCTTTAGTCAGTGACAAATTTGTCTTGACTGCAGCACATTGTATTGATACTGCGATGTACCTACGTATAAA